CCTTAAATCCGTTAAAATGTTGCCTCTAAATACTACGGAGACGCCGTGTTGGGGTTGGCGGGCTGTCCCTGGACGCCGCCGCGCTTCACAGGCCATTTAGATTTGGCACTAAGCGCTTTGGTGCAGCAGAGTCACAGAAGAAAAATAGGATTTGAATCGAAAACCTTTTCATCGCTTGTCCCTTGAGAGCATGTTTTCGCGAAACCTTTAGCTTTGGGCGGGGACTAAGAGCCGGAGTGAGGATATCCTTCCGTCCTCGAGATAAGAGTGTCAGGAGTCTGTTTGTCACTCTTAAGCCTCGAGTGAAGCCAGAGGCAGACAATGCTGAGAGCCAGACATTTGAATTGTACGACAGGCGAACCCTCCACCCTTCCCCACTTCTTGCCTTCCTCCTCTTCCAGCTCGTTGGCAGGCCTCGGAGAGTCGACAGCTACGACGCCTCAGATCTGCAGCAAAAGTATAATTTAATGAGCGCCATGAAATCACCCTTGAGCCTGTAAATGGCGTCTGCCCATTATCCATTTGCACTTTTCGAAACTCTCGTACATCCATCAGCGGAGGCAGAGAGAGGATGGAGGCTGATGCAGACGCGTGTTCTGATAAGTGCATCTCCTGTGGAGGCCGTCCTCTGTGATTAACTCGTGTCAACGGGACAAAGTGACGTTTCTTTTCTTCCAGTTGTCACTCGCATAGAAATAAAGATTCCAAGTTCAGGTTTTGTTTGTTTGGGTTTTTCTCTCACTCTGATCATTAGTGTCTTTCTCATCTTATCCGTTTCACACGCGTTGCATCAGAGCAGGATTTTCTGTAACAAGCGTAGCACGGCAAGTTTAGAGCTACGAAGCGGTCGATAGGGATCTGCCAGTGATCCTTGATCGGCGCGGCGAGAGGCCCGATTAAATGTCCAGCGCCTGCAACAAGACGCTGCGAAAACTAGATTTGGCGTGAGACGGTATATAAATGACCCCTCGTGCTAACGCCCACAGTTATTTCCTGCATGTTTCAGGGTTGATGTACAACAAACCTCCACCCCGGCTCTGCCTCTCCTCGCTCCTCTCTGGGAAGCATCCTGCTGACACTCTCTCCGAGGAGTCTTATTGATATTCTTCGAGAGGCATTGCAGAGAGAGCAAGGGAGGAATGAAAGTCACACACTGTAGCAGGCAGCAGATGCGCTACCTTCCAGTACCAACGGCGGCAAACGTCACAAGTCACCCAGCAGGGATGTGTCAGCGCTCTGCGTCGGCTGCACTAATTGCACCTCTCACGCTTTGTGTGCACGTTATCCGGATTATTACGGAGAGGCAATTTGCCATTCATGTATTTGTTTACAGTTAATCCTCTTTAAAGTGGAGACGTATGGCGTGAAGAGTAATCACTTATGATGCGAACAGGACATTTGTTTCAGTGCAGCAGCCACGCGTTCGGCGACGTGCGGTTCGTCAGAGGATTTATACAGGGTGTGACTGTTTGCCTCATTTTTATGCGCATTGTTTTCCACTAATCCTCACATTTGGCTGAGTCATTGTCATTTTTTTTTTTTTTTGCTGTGCGATCAGTTTACACAATCGGACGAAAATAAGTTTATTAGCCGATTAGTCAGCCGACAAAAACGACCTGGATTTGTTTTAGCTGGACACAAACTAGTCGCTGCCTCCTGCACCAGTCTTTCAGAATCAGCTCGCTTTCAGTATATTTAATGAAGCCATGCAGAATTTTTACCTTCACGCTTTACAAGCACAGGGGTCAAAGGTTATGATGCATTTTTAATCAGCTGTTTCTCAGGTGGTTTGATGGGAACTAAATTTAGCTGTTTTTGTTTGTTTTAGTCCCAGAAAAGTCAAAGTTTGACCTTTGTCTTCATCAGACTAAAGCAGTCTTCACAATCCAAGATATTATTATATTCCAAAAAGATTTTAGCTTCAGTTTTTCTTGAGACAAAATGATTTTTCTTATTTTAGATTTAAAGTATTAAAGTTTAAACTAAAAGTAAAAAGGAGCCAAAAGTGGAGTGCCAACGTTTGGTGCTTTTTGTTTTGGACACTTTTCAGTAGCAGAATGTGCTGAGGTTTCAGTCTCGACCCTACAAGCTCAGCTTGATTCGTACATCTGCACTGAAACGTTGCCTCAGGCTGATCCTACGTCAGTGGCAAACGCTGTTGGCACCGTTACTCTCGTGCGTGAAGGTGGGATTTCCACCTTTGAGTCGCTCCATCCTCTCCTGACCATTTTGGCATATCTACAGCTTAGATGACGGTACAGGAGAAATCTTTGTTGGGTGATTTCCGTTAAATTGAAAGTGTGTCATTAACGTGTCAGGACACCGCTGCAGCTTCATTTACAGCTCGGCTCTCAAAGCCTCGACTCTTTTCTGAAACATATTCTGTCATTTGGTGTTTTGACGACGGGGTCGCCGAACCGCCGTCTAACACGTCGGGCCAAAATCTTCCAGACATGTTCAATTTGTTGACATCTAGCGACTGCAAAGGCCAAGCATATGACCAACATCGTCTTCATACTCATCAAGCTGTTCACCGACTCCCCTCGTGCTGTACCGTGACTCATCAGGATGAAGGTGATCGCTCAGAACAATTTCATATCTGTTTTCAGTCCCCGCGTAGGTGACGCTTCACATTATTGGTTTAGTTTGTCACCTGTCTGTATATCAGAATATTTATTTATGTAAAACCGAGGCCTGTGTGTTTGTTTACAGAGCTCTGTTTACGGCAGAATAATTTTACATAATTATTAGGAAATAAATTGCAGCAAAGGAGACTCTTTGCATGTTTTCACGGCACATACTCGGCAGTAAACACTGAAAATAAATCGGTGCCTTTAGATTTAAGTAATATTAAACATTTATGAGGCAGAAAATCTAAAGACTAATAGTTTGCCTATATGTTCATAATGATGTAGGAAACGTGACGTCTGCGTACAGATGGCGGTGCTGTATTAGATTGTGAAATGCTGTGCACTCATCTTTTAGGGACCAGCAATATTTGTACCATATTTTCATGAATATTCCCAAAAAGACACATTTTTAAAGAACCTCCAGGAATTTTGAGCATTTAGTTTAAATTTCAAAGAAATCCATCAAACGGTAGGTGAGAGCTTTCAGTCCAAAGGTGCAAACACATTACGACGCCACTGTGACCACAGCGCCTGCAAGAGCTCCTAATCCGAGCGTGCAAAGATTGACACGTTTTAACTGCACGCTGTGACCACTTCCTGCCCAGCCAACAGGCGGAGGAAACGATGACACGTGCATCTCTGCTACACAGCATACTGTACACTGGAGTTTGGATCAAGTCCACAGGAGGAAACTCTTTCTTGGCAGGTTTCCCTTCAGATTCACGTCAGGTGTGCAGTTTAAGTCTGTAGCTCTCTGTTTGTAAATACAGCTTAGATTTGCTGTGGTTTCTTCCCAGTAGCCCTAACGATCTATTAAACTGCAGAGACCACTGACATGATGCAGTGAAGCCAGCGCTGAGCCCAGCACGTGTCATGTCTGGTATCTAAACACCAAAAGCAACTGAGTAATGTTATCGTCTCGAGTGGCTAAAAAATATCAAACCCTGATCTGGATCTTTATTATATGAAGGTTTAGACTTAGAAATAAATTCCTGCCATTGTCCCACTTCTTCCTTGTGGATTCGTTAATATGTTACATGATGCGGCGTCCGCCCAACCCCTCCATCACGAGTCCCAGTGAAACGGCGAGCAGAGGAGAGAAACTGCAGCAGACTCTCACACTGCTGAAATTAAATTAGTGTCCACAAAATAGGTCAGTAACTTGAATAAAACGCTTCTTTGGGTTTTTGAGGCACTGAGTGGACACTCTGCACTGCGCTCGTACATCTCACCATCACTTATACTCACTTTATAAACACAATGAGGGCCAACGGTTTCAAAGAGAGAGGCTCAAACGCACTCAGCATGCAGGCATGATGAGACCTAAAGTAGAGAGAGGAGAAGCTCAGATTGCAACGATTACGTCTGTTTACTGTTTTAGTAAAGCCAAACACCGTATTCAGTTTCATTTAGAGTTCCTTTCTGTATATTTCTGAGAGTGCGAACCTCTAAAAATGTTGAACATGTCCGAACAAAATGAAACTCGTAACACAGATGCCCCTTCCTTCACCCTCATTCTTCCCCCTGCATTATAAGGCAGGCGTGGAAAATGACTGCGGTGCCTGTTTACGCTCGTGCGCTCTGAGGTTATCCTTGGAGATCTGCGAAAGTTAGAGAGGGAGTGCTCAGGAAAATAGATTTTTGTTGCTTTATTGCTTTAAAAGGAGACTGTTCAAGCCTAAAGAAGTGACCTGCAGAAGGCTGCTGAAACGATACGGCGTGCTGCGCTCTCGCTCGCTCCCCTCAGCGAGGCTCTGAAAGCCGGCAGACCCGATGACCCCCCGCCCCTCCTTCTGAGCCTCTATCACGGGCGCAGCCTTTCACTGAGTCACCCCACTTGCCACACAAACACACACTCAGAAACGACATGCATAAATAAATCCACACATGTGCACAGTGGGCTCTGTCTGCCTCCTGCTCGCCTTGTTTCGTCAGTGCATTCAGCTGATGAGACGTTCGGATTACTTTGCCTGCTTTGCGTGGTCGGGATGTAACTGACTTTACTCCCACACGTGTAATGACACATTCTTCTCTAACTACCTTGCAGGCACCGAGCCAGAGGGTTGCTGGGACTAATTTGACAGCTGCCACGGCTCATTATCTGATAAAGCGGACAGTTCTCGGCCCCGCAGTTTAAACAGAATTCGACGATGCTATATCTTCACACATTGTGTGTTGGTAGTGTGGTATTCTTGGCTCATTTTGCTTTTGATATGAGAAGGTCAAAGAGGACATCTAAGAAACGGTTCTTGTTTTATTTCTCAATTTGTGCCAATTTTAGAAAACTTTCAAGATGTTTTCACGTTGATGGGGGTTTATCCATAAGACTGTGGCTTGATAGCATGTTCTCTCTGTCTCTTCTCGACCCAGACTTGACCATGGACTCCTTCAGCACCAAGAGCCTGGCCCTGCAGGCGCAGAAGAAGCTGATGAGCAAGATGGCTACCAAGAGCGTGGCCAGCCTCTTCATCGACGACACCAGCAGCGAAGTGCTGGACGAGCTGTACCGCGTCACCAAGGAGTACACCCGCAACCGCAAAGAGTCCCAGAAGATCATCAAGAACTTGATCAAGATGGTGGTGAAGCTGGGAGTGCTCTACAGAAACAACCAGTTCAACAGTGAGGAGCTGATCCTGGTGGAGAACTTCAGGTGACGACCGTCATTTATCGCTCTCGTGTCTACACGAGGCAGTTTAGACCGAAGCCCAACTTTGCTGCTTCTCCTTCAAAGCCATGTTATAGTTTCCTGGTATGTGAGCATGTTAGGGTCCATGTTGGCTGATGTACCAACTACGTATGCTACAGATGAGCACCAGTTATATTTATTTAAAGGACATAAATGGGGATCATCCTCTGTTGTAGGGGTGGGTGGTATAAACAGTATACGGTAGAAACTATGAATTTAGCCAACGGTAGAGATTTTGACTGTACCGCGCATGTTGATGGTGTCATCAAGCTGCGCCTGTTTTCGTCGAAAGCATTGCAGCGGCTGCAAACATCACCTGCAAATAATGGCGGGCGACAGTAAGTGCAAAGAGACGGCACGTTTTTGAATATGGGGAAAGCCAAAAACTGCGCTTCCTCCACTTCTGTACCATTGATTCATTAATGTTGAATTCTCTGCAGCTGCTCTATTCCCATGTTGTTGCAGTATATTAATGACTAACCTCGTATTGTGGATGGATGATCTCAGCTGTTCTCCTGACTGAAGTTTGGTCCGTTTACAGCATCCTGCCATGCGATTGCATTTGTCCCTAACCATCAGGAACCCTCACGTTAACTATTATCGAGGGGAAAAAAGTTAGCGTTCATCCTCCAGCTTCACTGTGTTTATGCTAACATAGCTGTGTCGCTAGCGATCATGTAGCACGGCGGTCCCCAACCCCCGGGCCTCGGACCGGTACTGGTCCGTGAGTCGTTTGGTACCGGGCCGCGAGAGTTGAGGCTCAAGCATGTTAGGGATCATCATCTGTTGATGCACCACCTACGTATGCTACAGATGAGCACCAGTTACATTTCTTTAAAGGACATGAATGGGGATCGTCCTCTGTTCTGGACACAGACAGTATGTGAAGGTCATTTTATCACCACTTTGTTTTGTCAGAGACGAACCTGCTGGAATAATATCTGTACAAAATCAGAAGTTTATCAACCTGCTGGTTCTTTAACAGCGATGCTACATTTTACCTTTGATTTCTTTTTCTTTCTTATGAAGCGATGCGGCTCTTACAGCAGAGTCCTCATCGCTGCAATAAACGATCGGTTACTCGACTGTGTCTGAGCGAAGTACAAGTCGTGTTATATTGTTGGTCAGGAGGCTGGAAGCCTTGTGAAACATTGAAGATGTGATTCTGGGGAGAAGTGCAGTTAAAGGATGTTTCTGTGTGCTGATGGAAGCAAATTAAGGGAATGGACATTTCCATCAGTTTATGTGTTTCCAGTAAAACCGAGCTCGGAGGGACACAAAGCTGACACAAGCGCTCAGTGCAGAGACGGGTTATTATATTAGCATGGAGATGTGAGCTTTGCACAGGACAATACTATAACTAATATATGGGGGTTGTGAAAGTTTTCTGGAGAAATTCCTGCGGCAGCACTTTCTATTTTTACTTCTGCTGCTCTGGTCAGAATTAGAAAGTGACAGCATCTCCTCTCTCTTGTCTCCTCGCAGGAAGAAGGTCCACACTCTGGCCATGACGGCGGTCAGTTTCCACCAGATCGAGTTCACCTTTGACCGGCGCGTCATGAGCGCCATCTTGAATGATTGCCGCGACCTGCTGCACCAGGCCATCAAGCGCCACCTGACAGCCAAGAGCCACTCGCGAGTCAACCACGTCTTCAATCACTTTGCCGACTGTGACTTCCTGGCGACTCTGTACGGGCCCTCGGAGGTTTATCGCGGCCACCTGCAGAGGATCTGTAACGGGATCAATAAGATGCTCGACGAAGGCAACCTCTGACCTCTGCCTCGGCGTTAGGCTCGTTTACCTCGACTCATCACGAAGCATTTCTTCTTTTTTTGAGACAACGATCGTGAACATTTTTCTTTTTCCTTTGTTTGTGTTTGCGTTTACTGTAACATCGAAATTCGCTTGGCAACTTTGTCCAAAGTGTATTTCTTTTTCCAGCCTTCTTTTTAATGAATGTAAAACTTCATGCTCTTATCTCCATAGCCTTGACAACTGTGCCTTAAATAGCATATTTTATCTTCGTTCCAAGGGCTCGCTTTCTCTCTGTCACTTCAAAAAGGCAAGAAACCAGGCACAGGCCTCCAGCTGTATCTGTTAAATGGACAAAAGTGGGTCTGGGAGCAAAACGAGGAGAAGAGAGCGAATTTCCAAGGACAAAAAGAAGTTTTACTGTCTGTTTGCTTTTCCTGAAAGCAGTGTTGCACTCGATCCCAAACAAGCGCTGTACTGTAGTGAAACCATGTGAACGACGGCAGTAATCCTGCTCAGCCAGCATTTTGCGGCTCTCGCCATCATGCACTGAACTCTGGCCTTTTGTTTCGGAGCCACTTATAAACCCACATTTGCTTCCAATAGCCTGGTTTATAGCCACCACAACAAAGGCAAAGTATTTGGGTCATGGGGGGAATGTAAACTCGAAGGAATTTGAGCGTGCTGCGTGTTGTTGATCGTCTCTGCGCCGACTCGAATGTCTCGCCGCCTGGACGCTCATCTAGCCTGAAAAATCACGGCCGGGCGGCGAGGGCGGCGCACAATGTGGCACCAGGTGCAAAGATTGCTCTGGCATTTTGTCAGAAGGGAATTAAGCGCCAACTCGGTCGAACCGCTCGCCGTAACGGATGCCGTTAGTCCGGGGTCAGCTGTGTTTCAGGTTGGGGAGCCTCACGTTTATCCTTAAAAGCACTAAAACTCCAGCTCAAATTCTGACTGATCCCAACTAAAAAGTGAGCAGGCAGATGAAAGACTGCAGCGCCGTGTCTGTGAAGAGCGCCGGGCAGAGCACGGAGATTAGAGCAGAGACAAACACAGCACCTGATTGTGCTCTCCCACTGCAATTATCGCTCCCCGCTCCGGGGTGGCGTAATGGCTGGGAGCCGGCCTCCGTCGAGCAGCCACTCCATTTCACCGCACGGCAGCCTCGTGTGATGAGATGGGGATAACGTCTCTGTTTGCGCGATGCCAGTCCTTCTAATGGAGTGAAAGATGATGTTGTGTTTCTCCCTTACAAAGGAGTATATGAGTAGTTACTACAGCCCTCTCCAACCTTGCATAATGGGCATCCTTCCTTTTTTTTGTCTGTGTTTTTGTATCACTGAGCCTGTCTGGGAGATTGTTTTGTGCCGCGGCCTCATTTTGTAGTGTGTGTGTGTGTGTGTGTGTGTGTGTGTGTGTGTACCTGTGAGAGAATTGGAAATTGAGCCGTGTAATAAGCGCTGTGCATTCCCAGATAGGATTGCTGAAACTTTAACTTCTTCTGCAGCAGCTCTGCCAAAGAGAGAGGAGAGAAGGGACTGCTGTTACTTAAAAAGCACTCTTTTTTTCCAGGACACTTCAGAAAATGGTGTGAACGTGATCGTTCTAACCCCTTAATGGTGAAAATGAAGACCGAGGTGGTGGCTGTTGTCATTTTAGTCCTGCGCCGGTTTAATTGTGAGATGACTTCTCATTTGTTAGATTCATTTAAGCCCAGCCTCATCATTTTGGGAAGGCTTTGAAGTAAATCCTTTAATTGTCTTTAAATGCAATTTTCTCCAGATCCTCCTCATCTCAGGGCGAGTTTCAATCTCACTCCTTCTGAAATCCACCAAAAAGCAGCACGAGCCCTGGAAACAGTCGCACTTATTTTACTCAAACGTGCTTTTCTTCTTGCATTTTCACTCTTGTGACTGTGGTGAGTGTTTTTATTTTCACTCGTGTACATAGGATTGTGTTTGTGCGTTCTCTGTATCCAGACACAACAAATTTAATACAAAATGCTTTTTTTTAAAAACTGATACATTTCCTGTCTTTTTATTTTTGTCTTAATCACCATCTCCTTATCTGGATGGTGGATGTTTCTGACCCGATCAGGAGGGTCATCTGACTGCAGCTGACCTGGATTTAGT